GTTCAGCAGAAGGTAACATAAAGGTGAGTCAGTACAAGAGGTTGGAATGTGCTAAATATTATCTTTACCTGCTGTCAAAATTGATCGGGGAGGGGGAACCAAATCAAAAAACTCAACCACCCTCTTCGTGCAAATATTGCTTCCTCCCTTACTTCTGTGTGGTTCTTTCTAAATTGTTAGGATCTAGAAAACCAGATAATCAATCTCAGTATACTCTCAGGTCATTAAAAAGCTTTAAAGAACTCTCTTTGAGTAAGCGTATGAGTTTTTAATTAATGCATTGATTTTTTGATGACATGAATTTGGTTTCTCACATCATCCCCCTCCCCTCTTCCCACCTCTGCCTCCAGTACCTGACTCTGTTTTGTACAGTTGAGGTCTCCAGAGAAGCCTTTTATATTGTCCCAGGTCCTAACTTAGCGTTAGGAATGTATTTAACTGAATTAACTGAAATATTTAATTGAATTAGAGATGGGGTATATATGGTTAATATGAAACAAGAGGATGTGAAGAGAGGAATTTGAAAGAAGGTACAGGGAAGTGTAAGGATGGTAAATGAGCCCTGTGAATGGTATTATTTCCAATACAGTTTATGTTAGAAAAGAGGTAGTGGACAGGAAAGTTGGGCTTTAATGAGATCAGTTGGGCTGGGAGAACAGAGGTGAAGGCCATGTTTTTAAAAGTTTTTCGTCTCTTTCTCTATTTTTTAAATGACTTACACTTTATGTTTTCACTTTTTCTTTAAACTAGGTTTGGAGGTTGACAGGCCATGGCCTACTTCATTCATTTAAAAATGAACACGCTAAACAGTCCATATTCAGAAACCTTGGGGCTGGAGTCATGCAGATCGACATCACCCAGGGCAACCGGATCTTCTCCTGTGGCGCAGATGGGACGCTGAAAACGAGGGTTTTGCCCAGTGCTTTTAACATCCCTCATAGCATTCTTGACATTCTATAGACTTAAAGATTGGGGCTTCATTTTTATAAACATTTCAATTAAAAAACACACTGCAGAAATTATTAGGCATTTCTGCTTTCCAAGCAGTTGTTAACCCATTGAAAACAATACAGAGAATCTCTGTGTAGAATTTGAATCTGATCCAAGCTGAGTTTTAGGCTGAGTTTTGCGTATATGGGCTGGTAGAATGACTGTGCATGTGTACCTTTTATCATGCTGACATACTTAAATAAAACAAAACCTAGTACTGTATGAAGGGTAGCTATTCTTTACAGCATTTAGCAAACCTGATTCAGAAAACATTTGAGGTTAGAAGTTAGCATATAAGTAAGTTAGTTATAATAATGAGAAGGACCTTTACACCAAATCAAGGAAGAAAATGTTGCTGTTTCAGGTTTTTCTTCCTATTCTTACCACTGATTGAAGCATGCCTGCAGTCTCCTTTGTTGAATGAAGAATAGTCATAAGGAGTTAGAAGCTTCAGGACACCAGAAACACACTGTAAGCAGCGTGTAAGCACACTTTGAAGCAGCACACAGTGACTAGTTCTCTGCTGTGAGAGGTCGTTCCCATTCTTTCCTGCTGAATATTTTTCCTGTTAGTGTTTATACTGATCTAGTACTGTAATTTGCAAATGAGTGCAAATTTAAATGCAATGTTTTCCTCACAATTTGCACATTCACGTTTTTTGGACTGCTAGTTTTTCTATTTAAATATTTGCCTTCATGTTAGGAATGTAATACGTGGACATGACATATTGGTAGTTAACCAAAACATACCAAGTTAGTACTTCTTTTTCAGTCCAGTTTAGTACGTTTTCTTTTCATGTATTCAAGGCTAAAACAAACACCCACAATATTTTAAGGCTATGTTGAACCTACACCAGTAGAGCATTTCATATCATAATTAAAATGAATGTTAGGCTTTTTGTGGCCAGTTAATAGTTGATGAGATTGGTGATATTATTTATTACCACAGCCTATTGTATAAACTATGCAGAGTTAAATATTATTTGCTTGAAAAATATTAGCCAGTGTTGTCATATTTTGATGTACTTCTTGGTTATAACCAAAAATATGTTCTTGAAATATTGAAACCAATGTCTGTGTTTAAATGTTTACCAGCAAATTGTCTCATCACGTTAATGAGAATGTTTAATGCCTGTGTGGTATATAGTAAAATATAATGGCATAAGAGCACCTTTCTCTGAAGGCAATGTGATGTTTGGGCTGTGAAATACATGTGTAAAAGAAAAATAAATGTTATTTGTTAGAGTTTTACCTCAGTTTGGTCTGGCATTCTTTGATAATATTTTTAACAGTTGAGATAATTTTACCTTTGATAAAATGCTTAACTGTGAGAGAATTCTTAAGGTATTAGGCAGTTCATTCATTTACTCAAATATTTATGAGTGCCTTCTATATCAGAAGCCCTTCAAGGAAACGGGATACAGGGGTGACCAGACAGAAGGCACACAATGTTGGGATTTAGTTGGGTAAGAACTAACTCCACTGTACCTTCTTGTTTATTGAACTGAGAGTGGATTTTGGCACCCACACTGGTGAAGGAGCTGAGCTGGGAATGGTGCTTATGTAGAATGGTGAAGAAAAGAGGAGGAGGGAGGATGCCTGAATACATAGGAACACAAGTTAGACAAAAATTGTAAACATATACAGACACTTACCACAGCTCTGTATACAGTAATCTATATATGTTGCATTCTCTCCGTCATTCTATGTATTATACTAAAACAGTACCAGCTGACTTAGAATCTGCAAGATAATAGAATTTTTTCAAAAACTGGAGTTGGTTTACAATATTGTGTTACTTTCAGGTGTACAGAAAAGTGATTCAGTTACATTTTTTTTCTGATTCTTTTCCATTATAGGTTATTACAAGATACTGAATATAGTTCTCTGTCATATACAGTAAGTCCTATTGTTTATCTGTTTTATATATAGTGGTGGGTATCTGTTAATCCCATACTCCTGATTTATCCCCCATGCCACCTTTCCCCGTTGGTAACCGTAAGCTTGTTTCTATGTCTGTGGGTCTGTTTCTGTTTTGTAAATAAGTTCATTTGTATTATTTTTTTTAGATTCCACATATAAATGATATTATATATTGTCTTTCTCTGGCTTACTTAGAATGATAATCTTGAGGCCTCTCCATGTTGCTGCAAATGGCAGTATTTCATTCTTTTTAATGGCTGAGTAGTATTCCATTGTGTATATATACCACACCTTCTTTATCCATTCATCTGTTAATGGACACTTAGGGTTGCTTCCATGTCTTGGCTGTTGAAAACAGTGCTACTTTGAACATTGGGGTTCATGTATCTTTTCGAATTAGAGTTTTCATTTTTTCCGGATATATGCCCAGGAGTGGGGTTGCAGGATTGTATGATAAATCTATTTTTAGTTTTTGGAAGAACCTCCATGCTGTTCTCCATAGTGGCTGCACCAATTTACATTCCCACCAACAGTGTAGGAAGGTTCCCTTTTCTCCACATCCTCTCCAGCATTTGTTATTCATAGATTTTTATTTTTATTGGAGTATAGTTGATTTACAACACTGTGTTAGTTTCTGCTGTACAGCAAAGTGAATCAGTTATACATATACATATATCCACTCTTTTTTAGATTCTTTTCCCATATAGGTCATTACAGAGTGCTGAGTAGAGTTCCCTGTGCTATACAGTAGGTTCATAGATTTTTAAATAATGGCCATTCAAACGGGTGTAAATTGATACCTCATGTGGTTTTGATTTGCATTTCTCTAATAATTAGTGATAGTATCTTCTCATGTGTTTGTTGGTCATCTCTATGTCTTCTTTGGTGAAATGTCTGTTTAGGTCTTCTGCCCATTTTTTGTTTGGGTTTCTTTTTGGATATTCAGTTGTATGGGCTGTTTGTATATTATGGAAATTAATCCCTTGTGGGTCACATGGTTCACAAATATTTTCTCCCATTCTGAAGGTTGTCTTTTCATTTCGTCTATGGTTTCCTTTGCTGTGCAAAAGCTTTTAAGTTTCATTAGTTCCTATTTGGTTACTTTTGCTTTTATTTCTTTTGCCTTTGGAGATGGGTCTAAGAAAATATTGCTACAATTTATGTCAGAGAATTTTTTGCCTTGTTCTCATCTAGGATTTTTATGCTGTCATGTCTTGTTTTAAGTCTTTAAGCCATTTCGGGTTTATTTTTGTGTGCGTTGTGAGGGTGTGTTCCACCTTCATTGATTTACATGGCAGTTGTCCAGCTTTCTCAGTACCACTTGCTGAAGAGACTATCTTTTCTCCATTGTATATTCTTGTCTCTTTTGTCGAAGATTAATTGACCATAGGTGTGTGGATTTATTTCTGGACTTCTGTTCCATTGATCCATATGTCTGTTTTTATGCCAATACCATGGTGTTTTGATTACTGTAGCTTTGTCGTATTGTCTGAAGTCTGGGAGGGTTATGCCTCCTGCTTTGTTCTTCTTCGCAGACTGCTTTGGCAAGTCTGGGTCTTTTATGGTTCCACATAAATTTTAGGATTATTCTAGTTCTGTAAAAAAATGTCATGGATAATGTAATAGGGATTGCATTGAATCTGTAGATTTCTTTGGGTAGTATGGCTTTTTTTAACAATATTAATTCTTCTAATCCAAGAGCATGGGACATTTTTCCACTTCTATGAATCATCTTCAGTTTCCTTTATCAATATTTTGTAATTCTTAGCTTATAGGTCTTTCATCTCCTTGGTTACGTTTATTCCTAGATTTTTTTGATGTGATTTTTAACACATCAGTAAAAAATAAAAAATTTAAAAAAATTTAAAAATCACATGTTAAAAATGTGATTTTTAACATATCAGAAAAAAATTTTTAATCCTTTATTTTTTACTTTCTCTCTAATAATTCATTGTTAGTGTAAAGAAATGCAACAGATTGCTGTATATTAATCTTATATCCTGCTACCTTGCTGGATTCATTTATTCTAATAGACCTTGTGTGGAGTCTTTATATAGAAAACCCTAAAGACAACCGCTAGAGTATCATATCATCTACATATAATGACAATTTTACCTCTTCCCTTCCAACTTGAATACCTTTTGTTTTTCTTTTCTGATTGCTGTGGCTAGGACTTCCAGTACTATGTTGGATAAAAGTGGCAAGAGTGCCATGATCAAGTGGTATTTATCCCAGGGATGCAAGTATTTTTCAATATTCACAAATCAATCAGTGTGATTCACCACATCAACAAATTGAAGAATAAAAACCATATGATCATCGCAATAGATGCATAAAAAGCTTTTGACAAAATTCAACACCCATTTATAAAAACTCTCCAGAAAGTGAGCATAGAAGGAACCTACCTCAACATAATAAAGGCCACGTATGACAAACCCACAGCTAACATCATTCTCAATGGTGAAAAACTGAAAGCATTTCCTCCAAGATCAGGAAAAAGACAAGGATGTCCACTCTCGCCACTGTTATTCAACTTAGTTTTGGAAACCCTAGCCACAGCAATCAGATAAGAAAAAGAAATAAAAGGAATCCAAATCGGAAAAGAAGAAGTAAAACTGTCACTCTTTGCAGATGACATGATACTATATATAGAAAATCCTAAAGCTGCTACCAGAAAACTGCTAGAGCTCATCAGTGCATTAGGTAAAGTTGCAGGATACAAAATTAATGCACAGAAATCTCTTGCATTCCTATACACTAACAATGAAAGATCACAAAGAGAAATCAAGGAAACAATCCCCTTTACCATCACATCAAAAAGAACAAAATACCTAGGATTAAACCTACCTAAGAAGGGAAGAGAGCTGTACTCAGAAAACTATAAGATGCTGATGGTAGAAATCAAAGATGACACGAACAGATGGAGAGATATACCATGTTCTTGGATTGGAAGAATCAGTATTGTTAAAATGACTCTACTACCCAAAGCAATCTATAGATTCAATGCAATCCCTATCAAATTACCACTGGCATTTTTCACAGAATTAG